CAGGCACTTAGTCCTGGCATGACTGTTTTACATGACAGTTTTACATGCACTGTTATTTATTCTTCCCAACAACCTGCGAGGTAGGTGGTATTGATTTGATTTTTACAGATGAGTAAATTAAAAGATTAATTGAGAGGATTAAAAATTGTCTAGGGTCACATAGCTATTAAGTGGCAGACCCAAGATTCAAATCCAGTTCTGGCTTTGTTGAGAACTACTATGTTGCGTCAGGAGAAAGTAATTCCAAAATATGAGAAACCGAATGGTGAACTATGCAACGTTGGCCTTCTATAAGCTCAGTTCACCTGAAATCCAATGAAAAGGATATTTGAAAAAAATGGCAATTTTCTTGAAAGTTTTTGGGCATACAAACGTTTGTGTGTATGTTTTGTCTAGCAAACATAATTGAAGCTAGGAGTTAAAATCTTCTTTTAGAAGCTTTGGAAATAGTACACACATTTAAAGTAATATGCATAAATTCTGATATGTCGTGACTTACTGTATGCTTAGGAGGTCATTCAATTATCAATCAGGAAATATGAAACATTGGAAGGATGTTTCACTAGTTTGTGCCTACAACAGATGAGCCTTCCAGAACAAAAATTATAGACTGGTACATTGAAATAAATAATGTGATTTATTTGGGGATCACACCTGGTTTAGCAGAATGACCAGCTGTGTTGCCAGCAGCAGCAGCAAGCTATCTGGTTTCATACAAGTGATTTTCTAGCTTTTGATTATAATCTGGATAGAATAAAAATTATAGTAACTAGAGTGATTTCTTGTGGATGGTTGTAGGGGAAATGATTGTTCTTAAGCTGGTGCCATTCATTGTTTTTCATGCCCTATGGAGACAGAAAATGGATGGAGATTAATTGGGTAAAAAGAATTAGTGTAAAGCAAGAGAAAATGTGAAGTTTAGGAAATATAAAAATGGGAATTAAATACACGTGAAAAAAGTTAATTTCAAAATAAAAAAAATTAGATGTTTTATTACCTGTTTATTTTACAAATTGACAAAGTATCAGGACCATGTTTACTTTGTGGTTTGTGTAGCTCTGGCATAAAGATAAGTTTTTCTTCTGTTTCTGTTTAAAAAAAAAAAAATTCCAAATGGATGAATTACTTGAAATTATAATTAAAAGAACCCCTTAGCAATAAACTTTTTCCTGTCATAATTTTAAGGTTCATTTAAAAAAAATTACTTTATTGAAAACTTTATTCTTTGACTATTATGGTAATAAATATTATCAATAGTGAGTACCATTTATTGCTACTCACTATATTCCTAAAAATATGCTACATGCATTTTTCATTCTGTTCTCATAACACACTAAGTAGAAGGTACTATTATTATCTCTTTTTGGCAGATGAGGAAACTGACATTTAGAGAAACAAGAAATTTGCTCAGCTAGTAAGGTACAGAGCTCACAGTAGGTCTCAAATCTGCATTATTTCAAAGCCTATGTTTTCTCCATCAGATCTTATTGTAACTGAATGATATTAACTTCCAGAGTAGACTTTTGTGAGGGTGATATTCTGTGTTGAGCTGGTTTGAGACCAAATGCAAAGTCTTTTCCAATCCAATACTAAAGTTCTAAAAGGTAGATTTTTGTGTATATGTGTGCATGTGTGTGGAATGTAGATATGTTGAACTATTTTGTCATTTTTTTCACTATGTTGAATTTATTCCTTTGGTTTATTTTCTTTTATTTTGGTTTATGTTGCACTCTTTATTCTCCCACGGATTTGCCTCCTCTCTCCCCTGGGTGATGGAGACGCAAAGGATTACTCACAGCCCATTTCCTCTCAGCAGTGAGATACCCCGAAGGGGTTAACTTCCCAGAATCCTCAAGAGAGAGGCATTCCTCCTTTGGGAAATTAACACTGAACTGGAATTCTGTCTCACTATTTATTCTCCAGACCAGAAAGTTACAGAAAAGCAGCATGGGTGGAGTTATGGCTAACTACAGTTTAACAATAGAGGCTAATAACATCAGTGAGATAACAAAGTGACATTCCATAATGCAATTTGCAAAAGGTTAAGTCCATCCACCAACAAAAGCTTGTTCTTAGCAAACATTTTCTTTCCCTACAGCAATTTCCTTAGTACGTTTACATAACAAGTAAGGTTAACCTGTACCAAGGACATCTATCCTTTGAGCCAGCAATTTTGCTGTGTTACAATTCGTATCTTCAACAGAGACTTTTGCCTGGGGAAAGTTTTCTGTCTTTTGCAAGGTTAACATTTCTATATATAATTTTTTTTTTCCTTTTTGTCTTTTTTACTGACCGGTAACGGGATTGCAACCCTCGGTGTCGCGCCCGCACTGGGGACTGGCAACGGGATCGCAACCCTCGGTGTTGCGCCCGTACCATGCCCAGCCAGCGAGCGGGAACCAGTCTCCACATGGGTTCCGAACCCTCAGCGGGAGCGCCACCGCACTCCCAAGCGGCGCACTCTCCAGTGCGCCACCAGGCCAGCCCTCTATATATAAAGCCCTCTATATATAATTTTTAAGAAGTTAGGCTAAACCTGAAACTACAGGGCTTTGGAAACTAGGCCCCGTGAAATACATTTGCTTTATAAATGTTAGTGTACTCCACAGTTTAAATTCTGTTTCCATTTCTATTATATGTCATACTTTCTAAACTCTTATTTTACAGTGTTTTGTCTCCTACATACGTTCAGTATATCTGATGAAGGATAAAGAAATATTTGATGTGAGCAAGTTGCCTATATCTGAATATGCCCTGTAAGTATTCATAATATAGTTGTAATAGTGAATCCTTGGAGCTAGAGGGAATTTGTTCCAAACCTGGTTCTCTGAGACTCTTAGTCTAAACCACCTTGCCTTACCTTAAAAGAATCTGCTTGTTAAAGATCTGTGGAGAAAAATATTAAATCAACTCTGGAGAAACTTATTTGTGTGTTCAGTTCTTGTTGTCAGGAAGAATTTTCTTATTTGTAAGTATAAATGTACTAAAGTGACATTGGCAGTTTCCTTTAGTTTGATCTTAAAGGAGATGGAGAGCAACTGATGAGTATTCTTTGAAATCTTTAAAAGTGTCTGTAGTCTGTAGTCCTCTCATTTTGAGACGTTTTATGCTTTGGATGTGAGTGTCTTCACCAGTTCTTGTCTTATGTTGTTAGTTTCCCATGTTTCTTATTGCCTGAATAGTCTTTGTCCTGGTGTTTCTTATGGGTACTCACAGTTACCATGACATGTTGCTTTGTGTTGCTTTGCCCCCCATGGATTTGTCTCCCCACTTCCCCTGGGTGACAGAGACACAAAGGATTATTCAAAGCCCATGTCTTCTGAGCAGTGAGAAGCCCCAAAGTGATTAACTTCCCTGGGACCCTCCAACAAGAGGCAACTCTTCCTCGGGAAATTAATGCCAAATTGGGGTTCTCTTCCTGCATTTATTTTCTAGACCAGGAAGTTACAGGAAGAGAACATAGGTGGGATTATAGTTTAACAATATAGGCTGGCAACTTTCAGTGAAACAAGCCAGATGACATTCCAGTAGACAATTAAGTGGTCCTATCAACAACAGTTTAATCTTAGCAAACATTCCTTCTTAACAGCAATTTCTCAGTATCTTTACATAACAATCAGTAACTAGTCTGTCCTTGAGCCAGCAACCTTGCTGTGCCACAAATTTATCTCACACCAGAGACTTATAGCCTGAGGAAAATTTCCTGTCTGTGCAAGGTCAATATTTGAAACTGCAAGGTTTTGGAAAACCAGGCCCTGTGAAGTACATATATTTTATGGTATATTCCACAATGACAGTTACTGTTAGTCACTGAGGTTACTATTATATGAGATAGAACAATTGGTTTTGTTTTGGCTTGGTATTTGAGGGATTTTTTTTTTTGTTACCTTTTCACATATAAAGGAGGGGTGCCCATTCTTCAATTGTGTTCTACCTGTGGGAAAAACATTGAGAAAACCCTATAGAAGCACCCTTGTGGTTAATCACACTTTGGTTATTAGCATGAAACTATCCAGGCTGTGATGAAATATGTGTTCACAACACAAGATCTTTATGTTTGGCCTGCTTTCCAGGAATTTGAGTGTCTTTATCTTTAAATTGAGTCTAACAAAAACTTGTATGTGGGTGAGTTGCTGTTTTCCATTCTTTATTTTAGATTGTGAGTTTAATAGGAGTATAACAGGTAATTTGTCAGTGGTAACATTTTAGGACCCTTTAAATTGGTATTAAGCAGTGTAAGGCCACTGACTTTCTCTTTAAGTAATGTATGGAAAACCACATGCCATGGATAACATGTTTTTGCTTGCTAATCTGTTTATATACCAGTTTTAGTTTCACCATTTCTGAATATTATCAGTGATTTAGGTTATTAGCTGATTTTTGTGCTCTGTGTGAAGTTCTGTCCTGGTTTTCTGATTGACTTAGCTAGGATTTTAGAAAACATGAGACACGTCTTTAACACTGCAGGGCCATATTTAGGGGACATTTTGTCACAGAAGGTTCTGGTAAACTTCATCTTTTTACAGTTGAAGACTTGATTTTTGTGATGCTTAGAGAAGGCAGAAAATTAACTTGAACCTAAATTATTGGTATAGTTTAACTTGGTGATTTTAATCTTTGTGGATATTTAGATATGTAATTTCCTTGAGGTGTGTAAATTCCTTTAGAAGGCTTTGATGCCTAAAGCAGTACTGTGTATGTAAGGTATAATAGAAGTTTTAAGATTTAGTCTCTTCACCAGTTCTTGTCTTATGTTGCTAGTTTCCCATGTTTCTTATTGCCTGAATAGTCTTTGTCCTGGTGTTTCTTATGGGTACTCACAGTTACCATGACATGTTGCTTTGTGTTGCTTCGCCCCCCATGGATTTGTCTCCCCACTTCCCCTGGGTGACAGAGACACAAAGGATTACTCAAAGCCCATGTCTTCTGAGCAGTGAGAAGCCCCAAAGTGGTTAACTTCCCTGGGACCCTCCAGCAAGAGGCAACCCTTCCTTGGGAAATTAATGCCAAATTGGGGTTCTCACTGCAGGGCCATATTTAGGGAACATTTTGTCACAGAAGGTTCCGGTAAACTTCATCTTTTTACAGTTGAAGACTTGATTTTTGTGATGCTTAGAGAAGGCAGAAAATTAACTTGAACCTAAATTATTGGTATAGTTTAACTTGGTGATTTTAATCTTTGTGGATATTTAGATATGTAATTTCCTTGAGGTGTGTAAATTCCTTTAGAAGCCTTTGATGCCTAAAGCAGTACTGTGTATGTAAGGTATAATAGAAGTTTTAAGATTTTTACTAAAGAAACATGTTTTGAATACCTAATATGTGCAGGTCATTGTGCTAAATGTTAAAATTATAGATATATAATATGTATTTCAACCTTCAAAGAACTGAGAGTTTTAGTAGCTGAGAAGGACTTATAAATGTAAATATAATCTATTGAGAGAGATCCTCTGATGAATAGGAGGTTGTCCTTCTAATCCCTGCCTCTCACAATAGTAATGATGACAGCAAGTTCTCATTAGTTGCCTATGTGCTAGGCAGTAATTTAAGTGCATTACATCTGTCAACTGATTTATTCTTATAGCAACCCTATGAGGTAGGTACTCTTATAATTCCACTTTGCGAATGGGAAAACTCGGATGTAGAGAGATTAAATAATATTCCTGAGATCACCCAGCTAGTAAGTGACAAAGCCAGGATTTGAATCTTAAGAGTTCTGTTTCTGAATCTGTGCTTTTCAACACTATACTTCTCAGTTTCTGTGAATCATGTTCTACAGGAAATAAAGCAGTGGATTCATGTTATAATGTTAGCTATTTGTTGAAGTAATTGTTACTTTAAGATTTTATTTTCAATCCATCAGTAGTAATTTAGTAAAAGCTATTAGCTTTAATCCAAGCTGAGAAAGACCTGGTCTCAAATTGAATCTTGATCTTAGATGGAGAAAAAAAAATTTTTGTGTGTGTTTGGTTTATAAAAATCCATTTTTATAACAGTGATTGTGCCATATTATTTCAGGAAGAGAGGGAGGGGAGGAATGATACACCATTTTATTCTTTGCAGAAAACTCAGTTTTGTCCTTTCATTGGGTCTTTTCCAGTTTATTTAGTACTTACAGTTTACAAAGTACTTTTATATATAGTTAGTTAATTGTATCTTTACAACAACTGTGAGATAGACATGGCAGGTACTAGCATTCCATGTTGTGAGGAAGCTGAGGCTGAGACAGTTGAATTGGAAATTGGTGGGTCTAGTACTTGAACTGGTATCATCTTGTTTCTGGTCTGATGCTTTTTATTTTGTATGATGTTACTCTCTCAAAGAAAAACTGGGCATCTGAAATGTTTTCTGATAGGTATTCAGCGTATTTTGCTTGCTTTTTGGATTATCTAGTCTGTTAATACTGAGCTGTATCTCTGAGGAACATTTTCTTTGAAAAAGTTCTAGAAATAGATCTCTGCTATTAAGAAACTTCCATAATACCCATAATCATACCATCAGTGTATAGAGACAATTATTTTCATATTTTTCCTTATTTAAGGTCTCTTGGTCTTGCTGTGGCACCACGAGTAAGATTTCTTCAGAAAATGCAGAAACAACCCACCAAAGAATTGGTAGTGAGCCAAGCTGAGAAAGTAATTGAGCCAAGGGCTCCCTCCCTCACCAGTGATGAAGTGGAAGAATTTAGAGCCTATTTCAGTGAGAAAATGTCCATCCTTCAGAAAAGTGGGAAAAAACTAGAAAGGACAGAGTATAGACTGGCTAATGGTATTAGCAATGAAGAACAGGAAAAAGAGGAAGGAGAAAGAGGAGAAGAAATGGAAGAGAAACTGGCAAAAGCAAAAGGGTCTCAGACTCAGTCTGTTCCTAACACTGATGAGGCACAGAAGATCAAGGAGGTTCCAGTGCAGTTCTTGGACAGGGATGAGGAGGAAGAAGATGGAGCTGATGCTGATCTTTTTAAGGTGAAGCGGCACAATGTGTTTGGGTTGGACCTTAAAGAGAATAAAGCATTACAGGTGAGTTTACTCCCAACAAAGAGTCTTCTATTATGTTGTATTCTTATTGTCTCCTAGTTGTTGGCCTTCTGGGAACTCAAGGAAAGAAAGAACAAAGAGAAACTTAGAATGACTTTCTCTGCAGTGAACTCTTCCCCCCATATTTAAACACAGACTAAGTACCAAAGAATTATTTTTTCATGATTTGGGAACTCTCAGAGGCTGACAACTTTAATTTTATTTACTGATTTTTCTGATGCTATGTTTTAAAGGTAGCTAGAGTCATGATTATGACATTAAGGAAGGTGATGAGGTTCCGTGGTCTATGGCGTGATGATCCTTCATTGTGATTCTTAACATTCTGATTGATTAAATTTTAAGGAATAGGTGTAATTATTTAAGTCTTTCTAAGGATAAATCTAATCTTTAATGAGATATTTGCTTTTGGAAACCAAGCCAGTATCTTGAATAGAAATTTAGCACTTCTTTTTAAGGCCACTTAAAAGGTTTATTAAAAGTTTTTATGTAGATCCTTTGTTTCTCTATAGGCAGGTGGTAAGAGAAACAAAAAAAAGTAATCCAGATAAAGCACCTGTTTTCTAGGATGCTTGGCGGTACACAGTAAATGTGTTTCTCTTTCCCTTCTTGTTATTCCCTATTTCCCTTCCTACTTTGTATGCCTTTATTCTTGATCATCTCTTTAAAGAGAATTGAATGAAAATGGAGCCTGGCTTATTCATTACACACCACTTAATAAAATACCAAGACTTACGGTAGGAGATACATATTAGATTTTGAACCGTGAAACTGGGAAAGGCATTTCTTTAAGTTAAAAGACATTTTTTGGGGGCAGCTGGTTGGTAAGGGGATGTGAACCCATGATCTCAGTGTTAACAGCACCACACTCTTCTAAGTGAGCTAACTAGCTAGCCCAAGTATAAAGACCTTTTTGAAAAAAGTAGCAAACATAATATTGAGCACTTAATATGTGTTATATGTTAGGAATTTTCTAAATGTTTTCTCTCTCTTTTAAAAATGTTTTGTATTGTTTTTATTTGTTATGAATATTCATGGGGTACAAAGCAAATTGTCACCACTTGTGCCTAAGATATGATGGCCAGGTCCATACTGGCAGCATGTCCATTACCACAAATTGTGATTATACCCCACGTTCCCCACCTAATTATCCCCTCAATAATCCCCAACCTCCCTCCCCATCCCCCTTTCCCCACTCCACTTTGTATCTCTAGGTATGTTCTCTCCCTCTGCAAGTCCAATGCACCACTGTGGTCTTTCTTTCCTTTCTTCATTATCTCTTAGCTCCCACTTATTTTTTTATTATTATTATTTTTGTGACCAGTAGGGGGATCGTAACCCCTGGCTCGGTGTTGTCTGCACCATGCTCAGCCAGTGAGTGCACTGGCCATCCCTATATAGGATCTGAACCCGCGGCCTCGGTGCTATCAGCGCCGCTCTCCTGAGTAAGCCACGGGGCGGACCCCAGCTCCCACTTATGAAAGAGTACATATGGTATTTATCCCTCTGTGCTTTGCTTATTTCACTCAACATAAGTTTCTCCAAGCTCATCCATTTGTTGCAAATGGGAGAATTTCATTCTTTTTTATGGCAGAGTAGTATTCCATGCTGTATATATACCACACTTTCATTATCCAATCATCCATCGATGGACATGTAGGTTGGTTCCATATCTTGGCTATTGTGAACAGAGCTGTGATGAACATGGGAGTGCAGGTGTCCTTTGGGTATATACCCAGAAGAGGGATTCCTGGATCATATGGAGGATCTATCTGTAGTTGTTTGAGAAACATCCATACTGTTTTTCATAGTGGTTGTACTAATTGACAGTCCCACCAGCAGTGTAGGAGTGTTCCCTTCTCTCCACATCCTCGCCAGCATTTGTTATTCTCATTCTTTTTGATTATAGCCAGTCTAACTGGGTAAGATGATATCTCACTGTGGTTTTAATTTGCATTTCCCTGATAACTGGTGATGTTGAACATTTTTTCATGTACCTATTGGCCATTTGTATGTCTTCCTTTGAAAAATATCTATTCAGTTCCTTTGCCCATTTTTTAATTGGGTTATTTGTTTTTTTACTGTATAATTGCTTGAGTTCCTTGTTATATTATGGATATTAATCCCTTGT